TATCAAGGCAAGAACAGTCTTTATAATCATTTACAGCTTTTCGTCTTTCACGCTTGTTTTTTCATTTTAGCTTTTATTGCTGGGTTGTCGTTGCTCGCGAGCTTTGCGTTTGTTATAGCATGATGCTGTTTATAAAAAACGATGAATGGTTGGAGAAGCGTATTAATTTTAATTCTCAGGCCCAGTTCAAAAAGTTCTGATGAAATTAGCGAGAAGTTCGAATAATTTTCAATATTTGAGAGATGGTCTTCGCGGGTATACGATTCTAGCGTTTCTTTTTTATCGGAGAATCTTGAAACACCTGACATATTTTTATTCGAATGATATTATATCATCAGTTGTGAAGACCATTATGGGTCTTAGATCTTATCAGTCTTGACGTGGGAGAAGGTGATCTACTTGTGATGATTATGAGGTTTAGATGGCCATGATTAGTGACTGCCTTCTTATTCGTATGCCACTTCGGAAACGTGATGGTGCGCGTGTCATCGATCCCGACAGGACAACAGCAAAAATCTTCTCAAATCCAGGAGATACTGTTTACGTGCAAAGGTGAGCAATATATGCCTGAAAGACCTAAATTGAATTTCCTTTCATTTCAGAAAAGAAGGGCTCGAGCAGCAATATCGTAAAAAATGTAAAGGATGCGGTGTTCCTTTGTTTTACCAACATCCATCCAATTTGAAGCTCCTCTTTGTATTCCGCGAAGCTTTGCTGTCAGCTCAGGAAGTGGGAGGTTTCAGCGGGGCGAATGAAGAGCAGAGGGCTAAGAAGGTAAGTGGGACATCATTCTGCGGAAAGAGGTATTCATGTCTCTGTTTCAGATTATCATGAAGAGGAACGTGAAAAACCAAGGAAAAATGGGTTCAGTTACTGTATCGACCATGGAAGGCGAAGAGGAGGACGAAATTGAAGCGGTGTGTTTTCACATATATTCGTCCTTGCATACGGTATACCATCATATATCATTCAGCGCGAAACAGCTGAGTCATATTCCATGAACGCTAGAATAGTTCGTGATGCCTTGAAGAGGAAAGGAATGATCAAAGACAAGTTGCTGGGGCGAGAAGTCTCTGAAGGACCCGCGTCCAAGAAAAGGGGGACCTTGCTGTGATATGTGTGTACAGAAGTTGTTGTCTTTGTATTATTTGCAGTGTACATACTTGTTATAAATTATGAACATGAGAAGTTTTTTATTTTTACGGCATCTGTGATGTCACATCATGAAAATTCTTTGTTACGGCATCTAGTTTGTTTCATGAGAATTCTTTTGTCTTGATCTCGCAAATTGGCTTGATAACTCTAATGAAATACCGACTAACATTGTCAAAAGTCGACATACTTCCACTACTGCAGATACCGGACGTCAAATGATAGCACTGTATT